AATATTAAAGAGTGTATATATATATATATATATATACACGAAATGTTTCGATTTAATAAGGATATTTTTTTATATATATTATGAGCCATGATAAATTGATATTTTTTACACTTGAGAAGTAAATTGAATAAAAAATTCACAAAATCTTCTAATAAATAAAATCTTATTGTGTTTTTTTAAAATTATTTTAATTTTTACAAAATAATTTGAAGCACTTGGGTGAATATTGACGAGAAAAAATAATAAGTTAATTACTTAAATCATTTGTTTGTTAATTATGATAGAAAAAAATAACAGTAAAAAATATCATTTTTATTAATATTAAAAAATATTGTACTAAAACATTTATATTTACAAAATTATTGTAATAACTTCAAATTTATTAATATTTATAAAAATAAATAAATGCATATATTAGTCAAAGAGCATAACCACTAATGAAAAAGAAGTTAAAAAACATATTTTTTTTATGAAACTAATATGGAATAACTTCTACAAATTCCATAAACATAAACCCCCAAGCGTGTGGTTCAGCGGTAGGGGTTGATCCACGCTTAAGCAAGGTCAGGAGTTCGAATCCTGCTTGTGTATGCAGCCGCGTTAAATCTTGGGACGAACCAAAAAAAATAAAATTCCATAAACATATTTTAGCTTTTAAGAAGTTTTATTCATATTTCTTCTTCTAAAAATGCTTTTAAAAATTGAGGTAGAAGCTACTAAATTAAACTCATGTATCAAAAAATTAATTCAAATTAACTTAAAATAACTTAAAATTATTAAAATGTGTTTGGAGTGAAATAAAAAACGTGTCACTCCATATCCAACAAAAGTAATCAATGGAGAGTGATTGATGTGATGAATCCAAACTTGCTTTAAACTGAATATACATTCTGTATTTTGCACTCCAATCATTAAACTAGTTGGTTCTTGAACAGGCGTATGGCCCGAGCACCCGAGTTTCAGCGGCAAAGGATATGGGCCGATCCCTGCAAAGTGGCGCGGGAAAGGTGTCTGTGAGATCGACGGTTTCAATGGCACAAACAAATATTTCTGTAACAGGTAACTTTGGTAACTTATCTCAACCCATTTCTAACTTGCTCAAGGAGAGGGGATTGATTTGTGGGTTAAAAAAATACCCAGAAAGCTGATAGGAGCAAGAACGTTTAGCAAAAGCTACGAGGCGGAAGTGGAGAAGGTTGAGCGAAACGCACGTGACTTGGTAGGGCATGGTACCCACACGCTGTCAACCGCAGGTGGTAATTTTGCTCCTGGAGCAAACGTGTTCGGCAACGGCAAAGGCACTGCCAAGGGAGGGTCCCCGAGAGCTCGCGTTGTAGCCTACAAAGCATGCTGGCACAAATTGGACGTTGGAGGCTGCCAAGAGGCTGACTTATTAGCAGCATTTGATTACGCCATACATGATGGCGTTGATATCATCTCTGCTTCTGTGGGTTGGTCCACTCCCTATGCTGAAGCTCTCTTAACTGATGCCATTTCCATTGGCTCATTCCATGCAGTTGCCAAAAACATTCTCGTTGTTTCCTCTGCTGGGAATAACGGCCCAGCACCTAAAACTGTCACCAATGTCGCACCCTGGTCCTTCACCGTGGCAGCTAGCACAATGGACAGGGATTTTCTCAGCAACATTTCTCTTGGCAACGGACAATACATTAAGGTATCATATCACAACATCATATATATCCATATTATTATATTATACACTTATGTCCATCATCTTAATTGGATTGGATCGTGCGTACGTCATTAATCAGGGTGCCAGTCTTAATCGAGGCCTACCATCATCTTCGCGAAAGTTCTATCCCATGATTGATTCAGTCGACGCTAAACTTCCTAATGTGTCCATTAATGACGCGTACGTAAGCGCAATTTTTTAGTTTTATTTCCCAATAACTATATATTTATATGTGCGTTGGTGCATGCATGCAGTCTTGTTTGCAAAGCGGGAACACTTGATCCGAGCAAAGTAAGGGGAAGGATACTAGTGTGCCTCCGAAGGGATAAAATACAATCAGTTAGTGAGGGACAAGTGGGTGCCCTAGCGGGCGCAGTGGCTGTTTTTGTGAAAAATGATAAGCAAAGTGGAAATACACTTCTCGCCGAGCCTCATATTTTACCTGCTGCAAGTATCAGTGGAACGGAGCGTGAAGATCAAGGAGGTTCCAACCCCTTCGCTGAAATCAAAGGAAAAAAGAGCGCGTAAATATTCTTCATAACCTATATACTTGTACCAACTCAAACACTTGATTTATAAATAGATTCATTGTTGCAGGGAGCTTTTAGCTTACATTACTGCTGCAAGAACATATGTAGGAGTAAAGCCAGCTCCCATCATAGCTGGATTCTCTTCCAGGGGTCCCAGTGTCGTGCAACCGTTGATACTAAAGGTCGATTAATTTTGTTACACAAACTAATGGATTGTTGTGCAAAGTCCTTGTTTATACTCTAACACCAACGTTAACAACATCAAGTTGCATGCACCAGATATAATTTTTCATTCTCATGTTAATATTTTCAGCCAGACGTAACTGCTCCTGGTGTGAACATAATTGCTGCTTTTACGCAAGCCGCGGGTCCGTCTAACCTTGCATCGGATCAACGTCGGGTTCTTTTCAATGTGCGACAGGGAACTTCTATGTCTTGCCCTCATGTCGCTGGCATTGCGGGTCTTCTCAAAGCTTATCATCCTAATTGGAGTCCAGCTGCTATCAGATCTGCTATTATGACTACAGGTACCTACATATACTGTTATGCATGCATCTGCTGTATATCATGAGTCATGACACATTGAAATGATGCATTGGTTTGGTGGCTTATTAACAACTATAGATGCTCTTAATTTATTATTCCAGCTACAACACTAGATAACACGAATCAACCAATTAAGGACGCATTTGATGAGGTGGCAACTCCATTCGAATACGGCGCTGGACACGTTCAGCCTAACCATATTATTCACCCTGGACTCGTTTATAATTTAAGCACAACCGATTACTTGAACTTCTTATGTGCTTCTGGTTACAACCAAGCTTTACTCAAGTTGTTTGGAAGTTTGAAATTCTCTTACACTTGTCCAAAGCATTATAGAATTGAAGATTTCAACTATCCTTCAATTTCGGTGCATCATCCTGGGTCAAAGTCTGTGAATGTTACTCGTACAGTTACAAACGTTGGGCCTCCAAGCACATATGTTGTGAAGGTTCACGGGCCCAAGGGGATTAAGGTTATTGTTCAACCAAGTTCGTTGACTTTTAAGAAAACCGGAGAAAAGAAGAAGTTTCAGGTTATTCTGCAGCCAATTGGTGTGCCCCGTCACGAGTTTCCTTTATTTGGGAATTTGTCTTGGACAGATGGCAATCACAGAGTAACCAGCCCAATCGTGGTGCTGTAACCTTAGAAATTACTCTCGGGCATTGTCATTTGAGTGTGTTTGAGTTTGCTATTTTAGGCTGTAATATAAGCGTGTTTTCTGCTCCTGTTGTATTCAAATATGGTATTGGAGCTATGTTTCTAATAACCACACTCGATCGTCATCATGTATGTATGGAACCTGTATCTTTCAAAGTCCCATAAATGGTTGAGACCCATCTCTAAATAATATTAAATAATTTTAGCCTCTAACCTATATATCATTTTTCCTTATCTCATGTTATGCATTCTTCTTCAATTTACTTTCTTTAAATTAACATCTATGCAACTGAATTCCGGTCGCCAACCAAACCAGCTTTTATGTAATCTTTGCAACCTTTCTCGCACAGTTATTTCCCAGTACGTATTTGCAAAAGAGTAAAAAAAAAAAACTTTTGAAAAACCCAGCGTGATATCCTTTTATGCATATTCTAAGATCAATAAAATACAAACACAAAAAGCATAGGGTTCAGGTGATCAAACATTAATTATTATTAAAATGTGATACAAACTTAAATTATTATAAAAAATAAATAAATAGGTATATGCTAGTAATTACTAGATAATACAAATTCTAGAATTATATAACAATTAAATATAGGTAGAAAACTCTAAAATAAATATATCTAAAATCTTTTATATAAAATATGAATGGTAGTGTTGATTTATAGACCATGTACTTAATATTTGTAATAAAGCAATTAGTAACTCATTTTTATTCAAATTTATTCTAACTATTCTTCTAAATTAGTTTTTCTTTAACTAAGTTTATCAATATAAATTTCTCTCTCCATTCTTTCTATATATATGATGAAATTTTTACTATTTGATAATTCATAAAACTAACATTTCTGTCAAACATATTGCTTGGAAAAAGAAAAAATATGAGAGTCATACACAGGCATGTTAGAGCATGAAAATAAAGAGAGCTAATTATGGTCGTCACTCGTCATCATACAAGTACTTATAACAAAAATGATACATAATTTATCAAATCAATTTTCTCACAGTATTTTAGTACGAGAGTTTCTTTTGGCATGTCATCCTTATTCATTGTTATGCTAAAACACTATTTTAGTGCGAGTTTCTTTTTGTAACATTTGTTTTTGGTAATATAATTTTATAATATTACGAGGCTAGAAATAAGAACGTCATCTTGTGAGATGTGACTTGCATCAACTTGGCCATTCCTTCTATCTTTTATGGTCTCATTTTTCTCTTTTAAAGTGATAAAAAAGAGTGAAAGTAAAGGGGAACCTGTTGAATATTATTTTTTTTATAAAAATTATCCAAAAAGTATTTGTTCCAATTTATTTACACAACTAGCATTCTTTACTGTTCACTCTCAGAATCCATAAAACTAGATTTAAAACGGGTCGTTCTAAATGATAAAAATAATACATAACGAATGGATTAGAACGGGTCATTCTCGTTAAGAACGGGCCATTCCATATTTAAAATTAACACATGACCAATGGAACCAGAACGGGCCATTCTGAATCTGGAACGGGTCGTTCTGGCCACTTCTAATGTCTATAAATAGCAAACTCAGACATTATTTTTTGGTTCGATTTTCATTTATCAAATACCAAAACTCAGACATTGTTTTTTGGTTCCTATTGTCACACCCCTGGTCATACTAGGAAAACATGTCCAAATATTGGTCATGGATTTAGTTCCCGCCACCATTGATTTTTATTGTTGTAATGAGTTTTAATAAATTTATTTAGTTATATTTATAATGTTAATATTCAATAAATTTAATTACTTGATATTAGTCTCTGAGACTACGTTGTGTTTGTGTTGAAAGGGTAGATTGAATTTGCTGCAATGCTAAGTTTAAAGCTAAATTTAAAGGAGACACCTTTGAAGTATGAAGCTATAGTGTCTTAAACTTGAAAACACGAGATGATAATAATGAGACCTTGTGCATTAAAAGTAAAAATGCATAACATTAAAATTCATATTACATTGCTAAAGATACATAGTGCATTAAAAGTAAAAAATGATAACATTAAGATAAAGTAAATTATATAAGTTTTTTAATCTCCATATATAATGGTGTCCAGTTCCACAACGAGGGCGACGTCTGTTACGGCTTGAATTACGCCGTGGAAGTAGTTACAAACGAATGCCTTCTGCCAATTATGTTTCTTATGGGGTCATGTTGTGTGGAGGATTTAATACATGCTGATGAGTCTCTTCATACGATTGCATGGAAGTTGCATCAGTTTCAAATATTATGGAAGTCATTCTTTGTTGATGGGTCATTGGATCTTGTAGTAGTCGTGACACAAATAGGAAATAGATGGAATTGACCATGTACCATTTCATGTATTCTCGTGTGTGAAATAATGGGTCTTGCATTGGATGATCCATCAATGTGTGCTCACGTCTATTGTTCCATATGTCGATCCATTGAGCATGTCTTGTAACCCAATTTTCATCTTGTCTTCCCCTCATGTCAATATTTGTGCAAGTTATCCAAATTATTGGGTGGAGAAGAGACATCCTGGAAGAGACGAAATTGCAATTTCACTCTATCATATTGGTGCTATTCAACAATTGAAAAACAAATAATGGGGGTACATGATGTTCATAGTTGAGGTATTTGATAAGTGAAAATCGAACTTAAAAACAATGGCTGAGTTTGCTATTTATAGAGATCAGAAATGATCAGAACGGCCCGTTTCAAATTCAGAACGGCTCGGATCCATTCATCATGTGTTATTTTTATCATCTGAAACGGCCCGTTCTGATAACAGAACGATCTGTTCTGAATCTAGTTTTATGAATTCTGAGCGTGAACAGTAAAAACTGCTAGTTATGTAAATAAATTGGAACAGATATTTTTTGAGTAAATTTTTTTTAAAAAAAATAATATTTTAGTAAAAAATTCGTGTTAGGACGGGTCACCTCTGGAGAAAAAAGAACATCATCGTGGGAATTCCATTCCCTTGTGTATTCCTTTTTTATTATTATTTTTTATTTATCGTTTATAAAGTGAATAAAAATTTAAAGTGATAAAATAAAGAGTGAAAGTGAAGGTTACATCAATATTATCTATTTAAACACTTTACACGTCGGGATCAAAGACTTCCTCGATAAAAAAAGTCTTTTTACATTAACGAATGAATTGAAAGCAAAAATCACTAAAAAAAATTGAAAGCAAACTCGGGATCAAAGTTTTTACATGGGTCCGCCACTTTAGTGAAACATGTCACTGATATCATCCCTTGACCATATCTTCCAATTCTAGCTAAAGGCATCAATAAATCATGTCGGGTTACGAGTCATGTTTACATATATGTTTTCCAGCCATTAGCCTAGGTGGAAAGGCCAAACATCACACGAGTCTGTTAAGCATCTGAAATATAAGCCTACTAATCGTGGAGTGTTGACTTCAATATTCATGCCTCACCTTCTTACATCCGATGAGAATATGCTTAAATATTATTAATAGGATAAATTATTTTTGATAGAAATATTTTCTTTATATTTTGAATATTTAATTTTAATTTATTTTAATTATTTTAAGATCTATTTCCTTATTTTTAAAGTAGGATAATATTAAAATTTGATTTTTTTTTTATCACAATTTCTCTCATTTTTCTCTATAGATAATGTTCATTTAATAAAAATATTTTTTTATAAAATATAAATACAAAATAACTCATCACAATCATTAGTACTTTTCCTAAGAATTTCTTGTCAGAGTATTCTATTTGTTACTACAGCTTTCACATTTTAGAATTTGGCTAAGAATGCTTAAACAGACAGATATTAAACATATCGGAATGTTATTAGTGTCACTTTCTTGAAAACGAGCTTCTCGTTGCAGCCAAGGTTAAAATTTAAGAAATGATATACTATAACAATTTTGGCTGTGACATAATCATGGCATCCACGAGTTACATTTACCTAAAAAATTTCCACAATAAAATATTGCAATGAAATTATAATCTTGAGCATGACCACAGTTTAAATCCTTGGTTGGGGAGCATACAAGCCAGTCCATCAACATACTTAGTCATTTGACTTGAAGTTCATTTGCGTGAGCGTATGCAGTATGCATATTATTACTATTGATTTTATTTATGGGCCATGTTAATATAACCAAGTTTATTTCAAAAGAAGTTTTACATTATTTGGTCCATCTAAAGTTTAAACATTTATATACTAAATGTTTTTAACATTTCTAAAGAGACAAATAATAAATGCTGGATCGGTGCCCATGAGAATGAATTTTGTGAATACGTTGTAATTCAAATCTACCTATTTCAGGTTATAATATATGTATGTGTGGATTCACACCGCTCTTATATTATACAAAATTGATTTATACCAGTTTTAACCCTTTGCATTTATTTTTTGTTCTATGAGAACCTAAAATAAGAAGAAGAAAAAAAAGTGAGAGACATCCACACACACATATATATATATATAT